TTCGTGAAGGGGGATACATATATATCAAATATATATATCAAATTCACAGAACTAATTAAACGAAACGCGAGCCTGAAAAATTATAATTATATATATATAATTGTGCGATCGTGTTGTGCAGTCGTGTTCTTTTCTTGCGTCTGGCACGAAAATGAATAACGCTTGACATGTTGACCAAACAAGGTCACACGTGTTAGCAAAATCTCATATCTGTTCGACTATTTACACACAATAAGGAAGATCTCCAGAGCGCTGCTAAACTATGCACACGTGGGTACACGCTCTTTTATTGAAATTGTCAGGGAAATCGCAGCGTATTTGAATACCAAGAATATGTTCCATTTGCACGGTTCATTCAGGTCTGGTTTCAATGTCGACCTTTGCCGAGTCAAGAGCGGATTACCTTACGTAATCGCCCGCTTTAAAAGGAACCACAAAAGGTATATGTGTGCGAGTAGATTATATCACGTTAAGCCGGACATTCGCCAAAACCTACGCTCGGCAAAGGCTTCCTTGCGGTCGAGCTTGCGTTAAAAAAAAATTCATGTCTTCTGAAGCAATTCGATGAAACTTAATGAAGCTTGCAGAGTAACGAAGTATATTTCATATTAACTTTTATAATTGCTGCATTTCATTCCCTCCTTAGACTCTTTAATTAATTGTAAATTCGATGGATCTTAAAAAAGCTAACTGAAATGATTTGGAATGATTACCGGAAGAAGAAAAGTGTCAGAATATTTCTTTAAAAGGCCTCTAATTTATTAGCCATTAAGTATGAGAGAACTTGGGCGAACTGAGGTGAAAATAAACGACCAAAGCTGCGATTGGCTCCAAATCGTTTACGATAGAACATTAAGCCAACACTCGGTTATCGCATGATTATTGTCGGGAGCGTAAAGCGAAGAGCAAACGAATAGAAATAGACATTTTAAAGACACTTCAACGTTCAAGTAACTTCAAAAGAGAAAAAACTCAATAAACACCAACTAACAGTAACATTATATCAATATTAAAATTTCTCATTCAACAATACAAGTGTAACATAACATATGTTCGATTACATTGTTGAATGAGAAATTATAATATTTAATATTAATATAACATATTGTTGTTAGTCGGGAAGAATTATTGGGAAGATCTTAATTCGATCTTAATTGCCCAATTGTTCCAAAATTAGATATGTGTACACCTTTGGAGTTAGCGCACTTCGCGCTGCTGCGACGTCGGCAATAAAAAAATTGCCCGGGCAATTTCAATGACGGCGCATTATCGTCGTTCGAAGTTGCATGACAAACAGACGGTAAAGCAGCCGATAAAATGTGAATGATCGGCCTCGGTGCATCGTAAAAAATGCGATGTTCCGCCGACCTCGCAACATATTGTCGACTCTTATTGCCGCGCTCTTTTACCCCCGGACATATGATATCGAGCTTAAAGTACCTATAACGATATACACGAAAGCGAAAATGTTCAGTACATCGCTCGATAAGACAACGACATGCGCTATCGACTCAATCGCGAATTCCGCGGCCGGCCGCGCGAAATCGCGAGGAAAATCCGTACTCCCGCCGAGTGGGCGGATTTCTTCATCTTCATAAGATGAATAGTTGAAGATTTCATAAGCGAAACCCTCAGCGGGTTCGCGGTCTGTGACATAACCCGGGCAAGATATAGGATTAAAGTATAGCCCGGTGAAATTCGATCGAGTTCGTAAGATCTCGGGGGATAATTAGTGATCGTTAACAACATAGTGTCGATCGTGTCAACCGCCGCGAATCAGGATGATGTGCATTTCCGGTTTGCTGATCAAAGCGATCACGGATCGGCGGTTCGAGTGAGTATTACATTCTGCAAACTCTTCATTACCCGATACCCATACGTTGGGATTCGGTGTAATTAGACGTGCAAACGTGTTTCGTCACGTTCTCTCTCTTCATCTCTCTCTTTCTCTCTCTCTCTCTCTCTGTCCACATGCTAACTGAATGTTACTCATCAAGATACAAATTGCAAACAGCAGCGTGTCGTTAAAAATGTCATTAAAGAGAAACGATGTATTTAACAGCGATCGATTTCATGGTGATTTCCACGTTGTTCTTTTAAACTATGCGATTACTGTTCTAACGAACCTCAGGACGTTTGATGTTTCAATTCCGATTTACGATCGCAGATTGACCGGGAAATATAAATCTTAACTAATAACACGACTACATTTGTCACGCGATTACATGGCTATAACTAGTTCTTCGTGATTCCGCGAAGAACTCCATCAATTCCAAAGTCAGATGATTTTGCTTACCTGTGTCAATAATGAAGTGTCGATAAATCAGCATCCGATCAACATCTGGTCGTCGTCGTCGCCTTCGTTCGTAATGTCAATTCCCGCGCGCATGTGAGAAGAGATGCGAACGCTTGAGCGGTGTAATAATTAGGAAAGCGGGACTCTACACTCTAGCGTGACCTAATCCTCAAGTTACCAGAATACAAATTGCCGCGTCACGAACGGTCAGAGTGTTACCGGCGCGCTCCTACACAGGATACGATCATAGACGGACCAGTGAATCCTATTCGCGCGTCATTGACCGACTGACTGTTATGAGCGAATTTTTCCGCTCCAGTTTAAGCAAGGGTTACGTCGAATGAGATGCACCCCTTGAATCGATAGATAGTAACCTCTACGCTTATTCACGTTCAGGGAGGAGAGAACATATAATGGAAGAAAATTGAAAAAATATAAATTTTGCAAACTTCGGCTCTGATGATATTCGATCAAAAAAATTTTTAACGTAAGGGCAAATATGTGCCTTCTCTAATTTCGAAGAAGTAATTTTCTTTTGACAAGTTCGAGTTAAATTTTTAAATTGCAAATTTGTAGATTTTAGAGAAGATAAGCTGTCGATATATAGCAATCTTTTTTGCTATTTCATAAGCCAATTTAATTGGCGATTTGTTTCAATATATACCTGTTTACATCGATTATCAAGCAACCAAGCGGCGCAATCGTGCTTTTTTCCCATCATATCGTATTCATGGCCAACATGTTTATTCGCATTGACGCAATTCTAATACGATACTGCGCAGGTAAAATCGAAATTATAAGAAAGAAAAAGACACGACGAAGCAAAGACCTTGCGATACTGCAAAGGAGAGTAGGAATACACAGCATGCTGATTCGGCAGTTGTGAAAGTGATTCTCCAAAACACAATCTGATTTTAAAATTACATATGTTCTTTTAACGACAGAAAAACTTCACATAAATTTCATATTCTTTCGCGAGAAACTGTTACTGAAAGGACAAACACAAAATGATTAATGCTCTCTCCTTCTTTTATTCTTGACTTTACCTACGAGACGGTTGCTATTAAAGAATTATATAAGCCATCCTATGTCACGTGTAAAGGTGTTACATAAATAAATATTTAATGGACTTTACCTTTTTCTGCTTTCTAAGGTAATTTATCGGATAATTTTAGAAAATCGATAATCTTTTTTCCAAGCCAAAGGAGAGTCACTGTATATAAATGGCGAAATACAGGTGTTGCTCGCAACATAAAAATAGTCCTTGACAGTTTATACATTTGCATCATAACATGTAAACCTTGATGCAATCGTAGTATCTATATAATAGTATCAACCGAAACTATCGGGTGAATCGTTAAATTTTGAATTTTACGCGCGAATATATATATATATTATATATACATATGTCGCGTTCTTATGAAAGAATAAAAAAAAATATCTTGCGATAAAATAGATGTTAAATGTCAGGTTGTCGTCGCGCAAATTTAATAGAGACGAAACATTTGTATGTAAACAAAAGTTATTACACACAAGTTAGGAGCATTATATATTACGACGATGATAAAACGCAGATTGGGAGGTACACAGTAGCTTTGATCATTTTATTGGAAATTGTGCGTAATTAAGGAGTTCCGTAACAAGTTGCGGACAAAGTTTTCCCGATATTAATCCGTGGTCCACGCAATATACGTGATCGATAGTCGGGTTAACGTAATCGCGTCTGACATAACGCTCTAATGGATTCGGAGGGGAAAATGAAAATTTGCGGTAAATCGTTGCCGAGGTAACGTAAATTATTGCCATCACTGAATTATAGTGCGCAAGAGCGTGTCGGCCGTAAACTGCGAAAATTGTGCGGAACGGCGGCGATTATGCAACTCCCTTGAGCGCGTCGTAAATTCATGAATGAAGCAGAAGCTTCTCCGAATGCATCAGCTGTTGATTGATGACGTAACCGATGCCTACATAACCGTCACATGTGACGTCACTTGCGGAGGGATGTCGGACACCCCATGTCACGTTCATCCAATTAGGAATCCCCTTGTATAACTGAAAAACGAAATCAAATAAAACACCTGCGTCCCAAAAATGACGACCAACAGTGGAAGATGCATCAACGAGCTCAGCTCAATTCGTAACATCGCGAGAACCAGCGGGTCAGATCGCTAAAATGACTTCCGCGGATCGTACCAATCGACGACGAAGAGTGTAACGGATAAATCCGAAGAGTCGCACATGACACATAATGCGGTTGCGGAATGCGATGAAACGAGGACGCAACTGTTCGCAATAGGGCGACGTCACTAGGATTTCAGGCGCAGAGGCGGCCTTTTCCGACTAGTTGAGGAACGGTGGGTGGATAAGGTCGAACACGTGCAATAAGAGATCACTGATAACACAATACTGATGCATACGAACGATGACGCAACGGTCGTTTCATGGTAGAACGTCCCCCCAGGCGACGTCACCAGGACCTCCGACACTCCTCTTCGGAAGTCCTAGGGACGACGGGGGACGCGAGCGAAGCCGAGAAGTCGACTCGCCATTGGTGAACGACGGCGGAGTAGTGGTGCAGTCGAGGAGTTTGCGGACGGTCTAACTGGAAAGTGGATCGATAAACTCGCGCCTGCCCCGTCCGGCACTGCCGACACACACGGATGCCCCGTGTGTCCCCAAACTAGTTTTAAGAAGGCGAGCGTGATGCACGATCGCGATCAGTCGCGATGTAACCGCAGAGTGAAACGGCCTCGCACCAGGCCACCGGGTGACCACCATCAGATGCTCGACGTGGGCTGATCTCGCGCCGCAGAACCGATCACCGGGCACGAAGCCGGCGATCAACGACCTAGTTAGAACGGTCTCGCCGGAGGACTTTCGTCCTTGGGAGCGAGCGTCCGCCGAGACCACGCTTGAGAATCCAGGTACGCGAAGAGAGAAAAAGTCGCAACGTGTTGCCTCGATGGAACACCTTGTAGCGGAGAGATACGTCTGCAGAGGCGAAGCTTGCGAATCGCATTTTCTCCAGCGAAAATGTCGCGGAAGATTAGTGGTTGGCCAGCTCGAGTTGATTTTGAACCACCGTTAACACTTTTCTGTCATGAGCAGAGTGTAGTAACGGATGAAACTTTTTTTAGTCCGAGTTGTAGGAATATAGGAGAGTTGAATGTGTGAGTAGAGCAATAACGAGTAGCAGCAGGATTGGAGGGTTCGTTGAGACAGGGGTTGCGGAGAATGCATCTCGAGATGGGGAACGAAAAGTCACAAGTACGGTTTGCCAAGTGCACAAAATCAAGCGGAGAATTCAGGTGAGCAGAGCACGAGGCCGCTGTTGAATCGAACCCTTCGGTTTCCCGCGGACGTCGTGATCGGTGTGACTTTCGTCCCTTCAGGGCGTTACCTCGCACGACGGCGAACTCGATTGCACGAGGCAAAGTACATAAGCGAGGTAGATAGTCGGTTATCTCGGATATGACGCAGGTAGCCGTCGATAAAGCATTATTAACGTATTCCCGAGGATTCGTTCAGGGTCAGACTTGAATCGGTGAGAGGCATTCCGGGCGGGATTTTTACGCGCGCGTAAATAATCGAGTCTGAACTCTTGTGGAATGCATTATCGGTACGAATCGGCCGCTACCTGTCCGCCGATGATTCAGAAGACGTAGAGAACGCGAAGGACGCGAGATGCAGATAGGTGATGGTCGTGTGCGCTCCGTCGAGGCTCCAGCTGCTTGATTGCGCGTAGGTTAAGGTTACGAGAACTCGTGCAATCCGTGCTCGGCGCAACGTGCTTTTCAGGCCTATTCGCACTTCCACTAGTCGGTCGATGCATGACGCAAGGTGCAGCTGACCAGACAATGAATATCAAATGATCGCGCGGTCGTCGTCGGCCGACCTCGCCACGTTCCACGTTCGATCTTATCAGCGAGGCTTGTATCTTTATATCGATCGTCGCACGATTAAACTCCTCTTTTATCTTTATTTTCGACTCGATTTTCGATAAAAGGAAAATTAAGTGCCTTTGGTCCGCAATAAATAGTCTCAATGGGCTCGATAGAAATTAGTCTCGAGAAGATTGTCAGTCTTCTCGTAGAGCAAATCGGCAGATAGAAATACAAAAGAGCCGAGAAGAATTCGACGATTTTAATAACAATTTTCGCATTTCTTTTTCATTTCAAGACAAATTCCTTGAGAGACAAGTTTTGACTCATCTACACAGAAAAAAATTTGCGTGAATAACGGTCCGCTGGAATTTTTGCGTTTAGCTAGTCGAATACGTTAACAAGGTTAAATATGTTAATTTGACATATATTTGTGTACTTTTCAACATATTCCCATGTTAAGGTAGTACAAAATTTCAGTGGACCGTTATTTACATCAAGTTTTTTACTGTGTAACTTTCACGGAAATTATCATTTGACGCGCAACATGTCTTTCTTTCTGCTTCGTAGCATATGATATGGATTGTTCCGGTCTCATTGTACCAATGTTGCAGCTAGGATTACGAAAGGCAACGTGGAGCAACACGAAGCAAGGTTGCTCAATCGAACGGTCTTAATCGAGCAGCTTGCAGTTTCAATTTCCACGCGTAACGCCGCGACGATTGAACATCGTTATCGCGAGTCGTGAACACGTCGTGACGTGTTCACCAGTGATATCGAAACGCCGTTATGGATTTCAGATATAGATAACCGAAGTCGAAAATCGTTCGCGTTCGCAAAAATATGCTCCATACTGACTGGGTAGATTACCGAGCCATGATGCCACGAGCGACTTGTTAACATTTTCCGATCGTCGTACACGTGGATTACTGTAATCACATGTGATGAGACGCTCGCTATGAGTGTTAATATAGCGAGACGAAGTCTATCGTGACGAGACCTGTGGGAGGAAACTGAACGTGTTACATGTTAATTAGAATTAAAAACGCGTTTGCAAAATTATTTATCTGATCTGCACGCTCGCTCGTACCGTAATAATTATTTATAAACGCGCGACAATCACAGCATCTTACAGCTATGGTCGAGGCGTATTCCAGCACTTAGCACCGTCGTTTGCATGCGGACCATTATTTCGTAAACGCATTCGCTCTCACACCCTCGTTAAGTCAGGCCGATTATTGTATCTCGAAGCGAAGTTGATTCTCGAGACTATTGGAAAATTTAAAATTAAATCAGCAATTCAACATTCAGCGCATATTTCCAAACGGATCTCGAGTCTCCCTGTTTCCGGCGGAGAATCTATAGGCGAGTCTGCGACTTTCCGATTTATTGTACACCACGTGCTCAATCAAGCTCACGATTTCATTAAAATGACGATTATTTGGCAGTGGTCCACCACAGTAAGAGGCTGCCTACCTTCTCCAACTGGCACCGTTGGATGATCCAATTTCGATTTACGACATAATTAACGGTGACTCCTCCTGAGCAAATGTGATCGACGATCGAGAAGAGCAAGAGAGAAAGAGAGAGGGAGAGAGAGCGGGAAAGATAGAGATAGCACACGGCTCCCCTCGCGGTGATTACGTAATTTGCATTGTTTGTGTCCTGAAATATAACCGTCTCGTCGGCGAGAGCGCGACGCGCTAGCGCGCTTACGCGAGCCTTATCATTCTCAAAGGAGAATGGCTATATATTCGCGGCAGCGAGTGTCACGCAGCCCTCAGTAGGAAGATGATAGAGGGCCAGGTGCATCAACATCCGGTACGAGTGCCGCCCGACAAGCCACAGCATGACCAGACGAGTGTCGGGTGCGTCAAGTTCGAAAAGTACGTCTGATTGGTATTGTAATCCACTTTGCCGGGGCGTACGGGAAACAGAAATCCCTGCGGACGGGAAAATCGGACGGAACGACCGTGCACGAGCGAGTCGAGTGAAACGTAACAGTACGATTGCGTCGATTTCTCGGTGCACCGGCGTTCCAGTGTCGAGGTGAACAGTGTCCATGGCATGGAATCTAGTGATCGAAATCGGCAGGTTCATTTCATTGTGGAATCAGCACGCACACACGACACCCGCGACAATTGATCGCACGCACGTCGCGCGAAGCCGCACGCTTCTCATTCACGCAGCACCGATCCTCGCGTCGCTCAACACACAGCTTTCGTCTTTATCTTTGGCCTTTTTTTTCCTTATCGCTTAAATGCGCGCTAATTATCATGATCGAGTGATTTTAACCTTTCGCCCATGGATTACTCGAGGCGATTATCTATGAGCGAATAACGATTGGGCCGGGCTCTTTCAAAAATAAAACATTCCTTTTTATCGTATCATAATAAAATACCACTGAATTGTATAAGAAGTACTGCAAAACTTTCCCTTGTTATTTTTCATTCTGACTCAGAGGACTTTAAAGATTTATATACGGAAAGGGAAAGACTGTTGAATAAACCTATAAAAATTTTCCAACAGCGCGCGTAATTGGAGTAAATCTTCTGGATTCAATAGCGATATTAATGAGACGAATATTTTAATTATTGAAGCGATGCATAGTAGTTTTAATGATACTTGCCATTGAATCGAGAAGATTTATTCCAATTACGCTGCCGTTGGATATTTTATTGACATTTTTCTGATTCGACAGCATTTTTTTCCGTATACCGATTGCTCGTTTGATTATTCTTCGCGGCGTTTGGCGATGGACATGCGCTCGTTTAACTTGCTCCCTTAAAAGCACAGAATGACGCTTGTTTTGGCTTCTTTTCAAGATACCATAACGCTTTGAGTTTATCACACACCGACGATCGTCAGGCCTAAGGGTTAATGAGACTCTCGCGCGGCGGCACTCTCATTTCTCGAGACCATCTTCCTTTCCTGCGAGCCGGTAACATCGGTGTCTCGCTCAGCGGAAATCTCCTTTCTGTCGGTAGTGAGCAATGTAAGGAGCCCCTGCTTCCGGAGAAGCAGAACTCCACCAGGATGACACCGACCGATGGCCGTTCGCGGACCACCTCCGAATCGAACACCACCACTAACGGACAAGCCGGCCAAACGAACTCCACCGGCAGCGGACACGCTGACGAGTGCCTCGAGGTGACCATCTTCGACGAGGCCGGCGACGCCGGTCGGCTGCCGGACGTTGTCGCCGAGAGCAAAATCTACGGTGTGACCGAGGACGAGCCGCTCGAATCGTATTTGGCGATCACCATCCAAGTTTTCATACCTTTCCTCATCGCCGGTTTAGGCATGGTGGGCGCCGGATTAGTCCTCGACCTGGTTCAAGTACGATCGACTCATCCCCCCGTCCGGGCGAAATATTTCATGAGAAACACGATCGATCGATTTCGTGGAAATGTTAATGCGGGTCATGGCGGGCGACTCAGCGGCACGCGACAGCTAATTATATTCTTTGATAGAATGGACGCCGCTCGGATTTCATACAACGTCAAGCATTCGCGGCAAATTCCTTGATTGATATAATAATATAGACTTTTCCTCAGCGAGAGCCTTCAAGTTGACAATCATTTCGAACGACAAGTGAACCTTCTCCGATGATATAGAGTCCGAATAAAAAAGAGCAAATAAAATTATCTGCCACAGTAGATTCCTTATACTTTATTTATTTTACCTCTATTTAATTACGCTTGTTTTTTTAAGAAGATCAATTTTAAATTAACTCGGGGATGTTCTGTCGGTAATTTTATTCTATCAATAATTCTCCGCTTACAGCATTGGGTAGTCTTCGAGAAAGTCAACGAGCTCATGATCCTGGTGCCAGCACTCCTGGGGCTGAAGGGTAATTTGGAAATGACCTTGGCGTCGCGTCTTTCCACCCAAGCGAACCTCGGTCACATGGACATGCCAAGAGAGCAGTGGCACATGATCGTCGGGAATCTCGTGTTAATACAGGTAAGAGTGACCCTCGATCGTGTCGAATTCAAAGGTGAAAAGATTATTTATCTTCTTTAGAAAAAGAATTAGAGAATTTAAGAATTAGAGACTTAAGAATTCTATAAGTAAAAATTAGCTGTTCATATAATACAATTGAAATTTAATGAATTTAGCTTACTCTTTTTGTTGCTGTATCTGATTTTTAGCTAAAAACTAGGTAACTAAATTTCAATTATATTATATGGACAGCTAATTCCTTTCTTCTGTGTACCCTTTGCATGACGATCAATACATTGTGATATTTATATATGCATAACATAATGAAGGCACCGCGACAGCAGATCACACAAGCATAGTTTAAAGACTATAATAACCGCGGGCTGGTGGTCGGCCCCTAAAATATTGATTATCGAAAGAATAATAATATTCAGCCTTGGTAAAGAAGCGTGAACCGTTATTATCGAATTCACGCGCTGATCTTCCGCTATAAAATCCGTCTCTCTCGAATGTATCGACCTAAGAATGTTTAGATGAATTTTTTTTAATGTTGATATAACTTGATTCAACCACAAACGAGCTACTCCGACAGTAATGGCTTATCTCTATTTATCAAGGCTGAATATTACTATTCCTCGATAATAAATATCACACCGACTGCTAGATTTCGAGTTTCTCAAATATTCTTCCTCGTATATATTTTTAATGGTTTCATTGCGAACCTGATGACGCGCGTAATGACGACGAACTTAAACGCGAAATGGCACAGGTCGTCTTATCCGTCGACTATACACACCTGTACATGTGTTACACTCGATTCCGGCGAGCGGAGAATTTTTTCTTCTTTCTTTCGCTCGTTTTCACATCGAACCGTGTGTGGACACGTTCTTGACAGTTCTCTCAGATTTAGCTTCAGACTTTACCTTCGCGAAACTGGTTCTAACTAGATGTTCCATATTAAACGCCGATATTTACCACTTATCATTCAAAGGAGTCGTAACTTAATTCCGTGGAGTACAATGGCGAGACGCCGTATTGGTTCAATCCGACGCCGTTTACTTTTCTTCTGAAACTTCTGTTCTCCCGGCTATACTCAGCCTTCTCGCCGACTCCTCGTAGAGTTCGCGTCTTGTTTAACGAGCACTATAACTAGGCGACGCAACGCGCGCGCTTGCAGAAAAATCTCACCGCTGTTAATCATCCGGCGTCTTATCATCTGCTGCATCGTAAATATATCTGCGCTTGTCGCTCGTAGCCTACTTCTTTCTTTTTTTTTGAGTTCAAGTTCAACTCTGCGAATTTCCACTCGGTGGACGCGAGTGGCCTGGCGAGTGGCCTGGCGAATCGGCCGAGCGCATGCGGCGGGCACGACGGGAGCGACGGATTTACCGTAATCCGCGGATTTCGACAAATCGCTGTCGCCCGCTAATCACGAAACGATCGTCGTTGTTGGTATTTCCGGGAACTCGCGAATTGCCAGAGAATACAATGATGCGCCACGGCAATTTGACCCGTGGTTAGCGGTTAATTGCGAAACCAACCGGCGAGAGGATTCTGGGAAAGCTGGTAGCGTTTTTCCTAACCGCTCGATTTAGCAATTGAGCTCCGGCCGTCTTATCATTGGCGCCACGATTTGATTTTATTATGTGTTCAACGCTGACGGTAGGCGGCCTTCGGTAAGCCGATTGTTTGCCGTACGATCTTTTGTGCATATGCGCGTGGTGCACGCCTGATTACCTCACAAAACACCGCGCACGATAAATGAATCGAATGCGCCGTGCGCTGAGTCTCCCGTAGGGATAAGCCGACGTCACGCTTGGAAATCCTCTCTCGTCAGATCCAAAGAGCTACCGCGTGTCAAATCCGAGAGAAATTATTCACACTTGTCTCTCTCCCTCGGCGAAATTCTACGACAGGGCGGGATTCTTCCTCAGCGTAGATCTCACGTGGGAATTCATTACCGGCTCCACTATATTTCCCATACCCCGACAATTAAACTTTTAATTCGTCAAGACACGTTCCAATTAAGATTAATTCAGAGACGAGCTTTCCCTCGCGCTAAAACTCGTCGCGTGACAATCGTTCGGGCTTCATCAGCAGAACGCTCGTTGGAAATATTATGAAGAAATCAATTAGAGGGCTTCATTTTGCCACCTCCGCGTGACTCTCTCTCAAACACACATATATATACACGCGTTGAGCGAGACAAAAGGTTTGATAGTTTTGAAGACTCGGAAAAAACGGATTTATTCCTCAATGTTTCCGCAGATTTTTTTGGTTTCCTATATATTCCCTCTTCACGAAAAAAATAAATATATAACAGGTTTTAACCGAACATATGAATTTCTTTCAACGAATTTTTGTATCCTTGGGAGGACTCAAAGAAATCCACGGAAAAATGGAGAAAAATGGAGAAAACCCGATTTTTTTCCGAGCCTTCAAAACTAAGGAAAGTTTGTTCGTTTTGGCTGAGTTAGATTGTACCTTTTTCTTTGAAAGTGAAACAAGTGTATGACCCAACATTGATGGGAAAAGGATCAAAGTTCCAGTGCAGCATTAGTTGAGCTAAAGCAAACGGGCTTAGAAGAAAGTTGCTCGGGATTAAAAGTCACCTTAATCCTCCACAGTGTCAAGCGATAGTGGTGGGCTTTTTGGGCTCCGTGGTGGCTATTGTGATGGGCGCGTTTCGCAACGGCACAGTCTCCTTGGACCACGCGTATTTGCTGTGCGCCAGTAGCCTGGTCACCGCGTCTCTCGCTTCCTTCGTTCTGGGCCTTATTACCGCGGGCGTCATCGTTTTCTCCCGTCATTGTCATATCAACCCGGACAACGTGGCCACGCCGATAGCTGCCAGTCTTGGCGACATCACGTCGTTGGCCCTTCTCTCATGGATCTCCACCATACTCTACGAATCGATCGACAAGCAGGACTGGGTGGCACCTCTCGTCATAGCCTGTTATGTTCTCGTCACACCTCTCTGGGTGTGGATCGCTAAGAGGAACAAGTATACCAACGACGTGCTCTACTTCGGCTGGACGCCGGTCATGGTGGCCATGTTGATCAGCAGGTAAGCCCTGGAACGTTTCGCGCGACTCTCCAGTACGAGTATGAATACCGCATCGCTGATGGAAAATCTATCATTAGGCTATTATTGTGCGCATCGTATTTCAAGCGAGACTCTCGAGTATAATACGCGGGATTTCCCACAGCTGTGGCGGTCTCATACTGGAGTTCATGGTGTCACGCTTCGAGAACCTGACGGTGTTCCAACCGGTCATCAATGGTGTGGGCGGGAATCTCGTGGCCGTCCAGGCCAGCAGGATATCCACGGCGCTTCATAAGCAAGCGGAACTCGGCACGCTTCTAATTCCACCGGGTCATACGCATCCTGTCATCTTCATCACACCCATCGCCAATTTCTTCGGGAAAGGTATCCTCTCGTGTTTCGCCGATATGTATTTTCTCGAGGGAATCGCGAAATTATTTCTACACTGAGAAAAGGATTTGCTAACAATTACCAAACACGTAGGCCCATGATACGGACTTAAATATTTGATAATTGTTAGCGAATCCTTTTTTCGATATGCTTGCTTCACCTCTTCCCTTCTTTTCTCGCGATCGTAGATTTTCCTCCTTCTTCTTTTCCTCAGGTATGCACGCCAGAACGACGAGAGTCCTGATGGCGATGGTAATACCGGGTCACATCATTTTCATTTACTTGATCAATTATATGAAAGACGGCGACACATCGATGACGCCGCTCTTCGTCTTCGTTTACCTGTGCGCAGCGATGCTCCAGGTCGCGGCGCTCCTTTACATCGCCTATATAATGATCCACTGGATGTGGAAGCGTAAGATCGATCCCGACAACTCGGCGATCCCGTACCTGACCGCGATGGGTGATTTGCTCGGGATCAGTTTGCTCGCGATTGCCTTCCAATTTCTGTACCTGGTCGGAGATCAAGATTTCGACGCTCCCATCACGCCCTGACCGTAGTAAGACTAATTTTTGTGTGACTATGAGCATGGTTGTCGACGATAATGGTAATTATGCGCGTCTGCTATCATTTACATTTTCATATTTGTAATTACGGAATTTCTGGCTAGAGCCGTATTCGGAATATCTTCAAAATTTATAACGTGCTAATTCATATATTATTATGATATATTAACCCTTATCGGACGCTAGCTTTTTATGCGTGATTCTCACTAGGTTGTAGCTGGTTTCGGTAAATATGCAAACTTGTCACCTCCTACGTGACGTACGACCGCAGCGACGAAGTATTGTTGTCACGTGAGAGGTGAGTTACGACCGATAAGGGTTAATAGTCGATACGATTACGTTAGAAACTGGAGAGAAAAGCTTCATTCAAACAATGATGCGAGATTTCGAATAATTTTTTCACGAATATTAAAACATTAAATGAAATTATTTTCTGGATCAATTTTTAGTATCGATTATTATTTTTATATAAATTTTAGAATATCGATTGATCGTATCTCACTTAATGTTGCGAGAAAGACTTACTACGATCTCTTGCAGGTAATCACAGATTGTAGAGTTTTCCGGCGGGCGGGTCGCGCAAAAGTTGAAGACCGAATGGGCATTCCTACGAGGCTGTGGTCGTCTGAAAGTATACTCCAGCGAATCAATCTTCGATCTACCAGTCCGCCGGCGAGTCCAACGGGTGGTCGGTCGCAAGAGTGACTGCCGTTTCACTTATCGCGAGAACCGGCCGTATTATTTTCCTAAGAAGCCTGCTGCGAGAGCCGTTATCCATGCGGATATCACGACACTCGACAATTGACGAATTCCTCACGAAGACGAGCAAGCGGAGCTTCGGAGATCCAGCACGACGATAGACAAAAGCGATGGATCGTTAATGCCTTGTCAGTCGAGTGGGCGTACTCAGGTTTTAATTAGCTACTAATATATCAGAAGATAATGCGAGATTGATGTGCGTTTCGATAGCACATGGCGAATAAATTTGCCTAGAGAGATTGCAGGTGTCTCGATAGTTACGGAAATTTTTCAAGCGATTGACTTGATCGTCAGAATTCAAAAGCCTACAGCAGCGAGAATCGACCTCTTCTTCGAGGCTGACGAACCGAGATAATCATATTAGATATTGAATTATTTTGCACGTTAAAGTGACGGCGATAATTTTGCGATTTTCTCGGCGATATATTTGGCGAAATATCTTCCGTATAGCGTAACTCACAGCCTAAGAATTGTTGATATCACAACAGAGTTGAGCGATTTTCAAGATCCGCAAGAACGCACCAAATTTGTCGCTGCAACGCGAATGAAAATCGAGGCGGGGATTTTTTTCTATTTTCCGGGTGTTGTGTCAGTGAAAAAGAGGGGCACAATTCCGTGTGTACGACTCCGTGAACCATCGAGGCTCAGCGAGAATTCTGGTTCTTCTACGGAGCACGCGTGAAAGTGTCGGGGGGAGGGGGAGGTGAAGAAGAGTACGTGTAGTTGTAATACCAACGCGTATGTGTCTTCGAATAGTTGCCTTCGTATACGACGAAATTTAGATAGATATTAGAAGCTGCCACGCGACCTATTTTTCGAAGTTCTTTAGGTGCTCTCGGATTCGCTCGATCTTCAAGTACAGTATCCGCCGCGTAAACTCCTGCCGTAACTCGTGCGGTGCGTTCAATCGATATTTAGTCTTCCTCCTGCACAGAGAAGAAGAAGAGAGATAGCTAGTTTCAAATTCCCTTCTCAATTGACCGAATCTATCGAAAAGGTAATCGATTGCCACGAATCCTGGTAAATTCGAGAGCTGGCAAAACGCAGAATCTCGTGTGACAGAGAGTGATCAATGACTTCACGTTCACTATAGGCTATCATCATTTAGCCCAAAGCCACGAGTCCATTTTCTAAAGTTTCACGCGCGAATTAGATGTTTTGCGGATGTATCGTGATGTTATATCGAAAGGATCAGACGAAAAGTATACGCGCGATATGGACACGCGATAGTCGAAGCTTGATGCCTAAAATCGAGACGTAGAGACCAGACAGAAACTAATTCAAATTTTGCTCGCGCGTGCGCGATTCAAATCACACTTAGAAGTATTACTAGCGAAATAGCAAATTCTGAAATTGCAAAGGACGGACAAGGATGAACCTTGGCGAAATCGTTCGACGTTCACGACTCGATAGCGCCGCTTCGAGGAGACAGCGATCGGCAGCATTTTAACGAAGCTGAAAAGTGCATTTAGTTAACGTCTCGTTGCGGTCAACCGATCGACCGAGTTGTACAGATAATTTGATTCACCCTGACATCGTTGCGAACGTGGCATACGTACGACAACACGCTTTTGTGTTCAAAGAAACAGAGGGGGCAAACAAAGAGGCGGACGAGAAGGTTTTTTTTATCATTGTGACGGCGATACTTCGGTCGAAGTTAGCTTCGTTCGATAAATCTGTCGGCTTGCGATAGCACATTGTATAGTACGTAAATTAGGATATCCCGTGGGAAGAGAGGTGTCGTCATATTCCCTTGTACATATTATTGTATAGCGCATTACCCCGTAGAGGCGTCGCGCGCGTCGAAGACTAATATTTAGCCTTCGCGGCAGGGAGAAGGATTTTCGCATCCTATCGCCTTTCGGCACATACTTTCTCAGTATTATCGCTTTACCGTTGCTATTGGAATTGCAGTGCGTCTATTAATAGCAGATATCCGGTACCGCCGAGAGAACGGCCAACACGCGCTTTCCGAACACGTGTGCGCGCGCGTGTGTCTTTTGCGGTGAAAACTGCGTTCAATATCGAGATTCGATCGAGATAGCACAATACGTTTCGCCGGAAGGAGGAAATTACAAGGGGGGGGGGGTGCACGACAATTAACAAGTGCATAAATTCGTCCGACGTTCGCGCTGCCGAGATATTTTTCACTCGCCTTGAAGGTCTGACGGTAGCGTTGCTTCACGGTGCTTCTTTATCAACGCGATCGAAACAGCGTCGGGGGATCTCGCGTAAGATCCGAAAAAAGCACGAACTCGCACCTATTTGTGACGCGATGTTAGCTCTATCAAGTCGCGTGCATATACTTGATTATGTGTGATGATTGAGCGCTCTCAAATGTTTCAACGAGTTTCTCGCTCGTGGCGTCAATGTGCGAACGTTATATAAAGCTTCATTTTTTCTTTTTATGCGCATGCGTTTGTTAATTCTTACAAACATAAATGATTGTACTAACGAGAAGAAATGTGCTATAATACGCAGACAATAATATGCAATCTGAGGACGGATATACGAAAAGTATTTTGTATGTAAAGTTGGACGAGTATAGCATCCATTGTACAAAACCGACTTTTACAAATAAAAAAAAAAAGAAACAAGCGGAAACAATATATTTTAGTCATTTTCTTTGTGTGCGACATAAACTTGTAACGGGGAGGATATCGCGGAGCGGAACGATACTACCACTCGATCGCCGGACCGTAAAAATTCGCACATCTCGCGACGTAATAATCTCACGAAACATAACCACTTGAAGAAAATTGTCTGTAACCTAATATAGCGTTTGCACCGTAAGTTAGAACGACGTACGTGCAGACAATAATATAAGCGGCGAGAAGAAAAAGAAATATTTTGTATACAGTATCGTGTTAATATAAGAAGTGCGTCTTGTACAGAATACATTCGGTAACGGTTCCGACACACACAGAGAGATCGTGCAGTGTTCCGAAATATGTTCCTGTTCTGCGTTCTGTTAAAGTTGTAACGGAAGAGAGGGTTAGGCACTTCACGTCGTAGATCGACTTTCGCAGGTACACAATGATGTCGACGTCTGTTAGTCAATTACGACGTTAATCACGAGTTTCACGACGACGACGAGGCATGGAGCACCGGTGCGTAATAATCACGATGTCTCTAGCTGAAATTATGCTTTCAATCGTTAAACGAAATCGTCGAGCAGCATAGTAGTCGAGAAATATTTTGACGCAGATCTCCCCACTGAAACAGTGATGTAATTTTGTAAAATATGTATAATAAAAAATGTACAGAAAACGACGGGATCTTTTTTGCCATTTAGCTGATATTTTTGTTACTTTTAGTTTTTAGAACGGCCATGATATTTGCTTGATGTGCTGTTGAGGTGATTGTAAATGTCGAAGAAGTAGGGCGATTTTAAGTTATGTAAGATTCACTGGTGTACCACTTTGCGTTTATTCAGCTCTTCGTTTTCCTCGTTTCTGGAATCCTCAAATCAAGGATCTCTGCCTACATACACATATAAATTATAACAGTTTAATATCATCTGGAGTGTTTTATAAATAATTTAAATATATAGTCAGGATACAACTTAAGAGTTCCCATTTTTCACATATGAATTGCACACAGCTATCATTTCGTTTTAACGCTCATTGTATCATCAGTTTAACTTGCCACATTTTTCTCTTCTTATTGTCTTTATTATAAATAATTTTCTTTCTTCACTTGTGTGCTTTTCTCTCTCTCTCTTTCTCTCACTTATATTTATAAATCAACAGTAACAACTGTCATACTATTTGATACTTTTCGTATCAAGTTCTATCTAGCCAATATCATGAAAATAAATACGTGTGTATCACAATGATACAAAATGATAGCATTTAGCAGAAAACCCTGAGAGATTCTATCTTTATCATGTGGATAAAAGTATTTATAAAAATATTTATCGTGAATGCGACAATTGCTTATAAGAGCAATTCTTACAAAGGAGACACGTTTATCAATCAACTGACCAATCAATCAACACATTTCAATGAGACGAAAAAATCAATTACATTGAAAAAAAAATTAATTTTCCTCTTTAGAATCAATAAAAACAAAAAAATGTCATCGATAATCCTCATATCTGTTGATTTATTGCAGATTATTTCGAAGTGTATATCTACGCTGCGAGGTTGGGGCAGTAAATGGACAGATGCACAACGTATCTGGTCTCTTTAATGCTCTAAAGTATAAATAAGTAATAATAACGAAGTACAAAAATATGAATCGAAATATAGTGATGCGTATATCGACAGTACTGGGCATTCACATTTACACTTTTTAAGCAATTCAATCCAAAATGTTATTCGAAACCGAAAGTTTTTCTGAATGCCTATGTACCGATAACAGTTACCTAATCAATTTTAATAGATGAGTATATGTATGTACATTATATTTACACAATTACATTAACACTATTGTGACAACAGAGTGTGTGACGATAGTGTGACCAATAATCGTGTAAAAAATAGTTGATCTTTTAAAGATCCTCAAGAATTTATGATCTCGAATTTGCGAAATGACAAAAATTCGAGATTATCGCCACATATTTCATAAATGATTTGACGCGTCTTCAACCCATCACTAGGTATCGAAACCGGCGAAATCTCACGTCGATTCTTCATTAGCGACGTTCTATTTGTGTTCTAATAAATGTCAAAAGGTCATACGCGAACGTGAATCTTATCAGCTACATGATCTCGAATTTAACTCGAAAAGAGTTCTCAAGCAGACGCGGTGTGGGTATATTACATATTTATACATTAGATATAATACATACGGCAGTAGAGTATGTACCGTTCAACGCGCGTTACAAAAGAGATGGCTGGTGTACAGCAAACGCGATGGCATTTGTTCTTGCGTTTGAAATCTATGAATTCAGTTCTGCTCACTGCAGTTTCGCTTCTTCCTTCACTTTCCACAGAATTAACTCCATACAAGAGACGGCATCCTCTTTACTGTCGTGACCGCCGACTAAAAAAAAATATCATTATGAAGAATACATTACTTGATTGTTCGATTATTATCTCTCCCCATCACTTCTGGTGGCAAGAGTCGAAGCAAGAAAAACCAAAAAAAAAAAAAAACTTACTATCATTTTGTATGAGTTTTCTGAGAAACTCGGAACAAAGATTTTTCAATGCCCGTTTTTGCGGGTATCCGTTTTTATGCGGAAACATAACGCTGGTGTCCACGACAGTATCATGGAGCAGTCTTAAAGCTTTAAAATCGCTCTCAAGACTGTGACCCACCAAGATCGTTTTATCGGAGAACATTGTAAGAAACGTAGCCTGTACGTCCAAAAGAGTCGTCGTCACGTTCTTCATATCTTCCTCCGTGATCCCTGAGAACCTGTGTTGACACAGAAAATCGTTCACATAAACCGGTATTTCGTCGGTTTAAGCTGACTAATCGATATCGTCTAATCTCGTTAACGTTAAATTTCGCCATTGCCTTACCTCGTGTTGTAATCGATTATTGGATTTTGTGGCTTCACTAATGTTTCATATATGACGTTGCAATCATCGTTGATGACCGTCACTCTGGTCAATTCTAAGCCGTACGTAGTGTAGCACATCTCACAATCGAGCGCGTAGACACCTTGTTCTTCCACAGAGCCATCTTTTGCATAATGTAAAAAATGAATGATAAGACAATGAGATGATGAGTGATAATATGCGGGGGTACATCGATATTAGTAGAAAGTTAAAAATCACTCACCTTTCGGCAAAGTTTTAACGTAGCCGCGAAGATTCTCATAATCCGTATAGTCCCATACGTGCGTCTTTGCGTCGCAACAACCAGAGGCGGATCCGTATTGTTGGCAACAACTGTACTTGCCCTCGCCTCTGATCGTGAACTTTCTTCCCCAATGATATATACAGTTTTGTTGCCGTACAGAGAAGCCGTGTCTATCTACCATGTACGCTTGGCCACAGCGACTACACATTCTTTCGTTAGGCACTTTTGACAAAACACTTTGGTTTCGCGAATTTATCACGTATACTTTCGCTCGTCCCTGCAATATGTAAGACATCATTGAATATGCGGTTGCAGCAATACTAAAATTACATGCAAGGCTGTAACCTGCATCGTTAATCAAGTATTTATTCTCTTTATATAAAATTGCATCAATCCGTTATACATAACTATATACACAGTATATATATTATAATATTTTTATATCCCATCGCTTATCGTTCCATCTTTGAATAATTTAATATTGTCTCATTGGCGCTTGTGCTTCACCTTTTAATCATTTATTAATTTTTATCTCGCGCGCCCAACCTGTCGTTTGATTCTTTCAATATTTCCGATATTCTCATTATTTCGATTTGCAATGTAAAATCACTTGTTCACCTTGGGACCGTCCGGATGATTGCGAGGAAATCCGTTTTCTCTGAGCTGATCCTCCGACATGATCCACTTCTTCAGCACACTGTAGAGTGCGGATCCTTTGTAATCTATAACGTTCTTCTTGGTTCTGACTACGCTCCAAGAACCCTTCGACTTGCCGGCGAGTACAGCCTCGTGGGATACCATACCGCAGCTCGATCCGGCGGATTTCCCGCCCGATTTGCTCTGATCGACTTCTTTCCTCAGTCTGTGAGTCGCTAATATACACGCATTTTTGTACACCGGGAGCACCTTACATCTATCGTGACACGCGAGCTCCTCTTTGACAGCACGCTCGGCTGCGTCGTCACCGCTCGTGTAAACTTGCACGCATATATCGTGCATAATATTAATATAATACTGGCGAACGTTCAAAGGAAATTTCTGGGTGGCGACTTGAAGCGGTTCCGGTCGTACTAGTTGAGGTATCTGTAATATCGCAAGGCATTATGACTTGTGCACAGGACGTGGTAACGCCGAGGAACAGTGTGACTCATGCATGCGGTGGGCAATCGACCTCCTGTTTTTTTCTTTTTTTGCGGGAATAAACAACACGTAACGGAAAGTGATTGGCTATCGCGGCTTCGCTTTTCGTCGCGTTTATTAACGCGTTACCGCGTCCTGTGTGCACGGAAAAGCCGTGCGCGCGTTAGCAGTACGTTTTATCGAATATCTTATCGAATATATCGCGCATCGCGACTCAACCAGGACAAGACTCGCGTGCGATTGCACCGAGTAATAATTAAAAGTTTTCGTAGCGACTTTCTGATCTTACCGATTGCGGCACGTGAGCGATGCGCACACCGCCCTTAGTGGTTTGCGCCGGAGTTTTGCTGTCCGCCTCGTCCTTGCCTTTCGCCGACATCACTGCGACTTTCTTCTTCTCCATCGCGAGAGACTTCGCGTACGGAACGTGAGCGATTCTAACGCGACCTTTAACGTTACATTGCGATATATTAACAAAACGCTATATCAGTAAAATGTCACATGTTAAGTTGACGTAAGATTAAACCGAATCAATTTTTCGAACATCGCTACACGTGCACTTCACGGTCGTGCCAACTTTGCGTGAGCAGCGAATCAACTTACCATTCCCATTCAGCTGTGAGTGACTGTTGCTTATCGACGAAGTGGACTCGGTGGACTCCTTGCGTACGTTACTGGAGAGTTTAAGTGCCGACGTGGAGGATACCTGAGCCTTCGCTTCAGCTGCTAACTTCGCCGCGGCCTTCTCAGCCGCCGCTTCTCGCAATAGACGCCACCGCTCGTACATTTTCTGCTGCGGATTGATCAATTTCTTCGGTGGCTGACTAGGACCTACGTGTTTGGTGACGCTCGTGGCCGCCGAGGGGTGCGCGACCCTCTTCCTACCGACCTCTTCCACATCCTCGGGCTCGCGTCTCGTCGATTCTTTGATCGACACTACCTTCGGCTGTTCGGACACTTGATATTCCTGTAAAATGAACAAACACAAATTAAATGTCCACACTGTGCCATATCAAGTTGAATATATTCGAATTGTTTTCGCCGATACGGAATTTTGCCTTTCACCGGATGAAGCAGGAGAAGTTGAAATATTTTCAGCTGACGCAACATAATTTTGTCTACGACCGTAATGCGAAAAATGCTAATATTGCAAGCAGCGATAGAAAAGTATAAATAATTGATTAACTGCCGTCCACGTGCAATGTATAGATATGTGGATGACTCACCTGAAAAATCTTTAGGCATTCTTCCTGTACATCGTGATCCGAATCTGACAGTTCTAGAATTTCGTCGTCTATGAAAGGATGAGTGTTATTCAAAGGACTATCAACAGATCCGTCAGATGAATTTCTTTCGCTGCTACTCTCTTTGCGCTCACTAGATTTCCTGGAGGAGGTGCTAGGTCTCCGACCCGATCCCGACTGGTGTTTCTTATCGCTTTTGCTCGCTGTATGTTTGCTCGACTTGGAGCTGGAGCTAGTTTTGGACTTGTGCTTGTCGTGCCGGCTGGATTTGTGGTGATCATCTCGATCTCTCTTCGGAGAGCTATGTTTATCCCTCCGGGAGTGATCTCTATCTTTGTGCGAAGATTCCTTACTGTCACGGCTGCTTCGCCTTTTATCCTTGTCTTTGTTAGAGGAGGAATGGTGCCTACTTTTGGAATCCGATTTATGTCCAGACTTGTCTTTGTCCTTCCTCTCAGAACTGTGATGATCTCTTTTATCTTTCTTCTTACTTTTACTGTGACTGCTCTGTGCCTCTTTCTCCTTATTGGTGTCCTCTTTAACACCTTCTTTCCTTTTATCCGAAGACTTGTTCGCGTCACTTCCCTTGTATTGCTTAGACTTATTGCTACTTTTTGTATCACCCGTTTTAACGTCGCAATGATTATTGCGCACCTTATTACCCTTATTGCTTGTTTGCTCATCAATCTTCGCATGTTGTAAATTCTCTTTCCCTTTCTCGTCCACGTCCATAGTTTCTTCGTCTTTCTTGACACTTGCGCCACCTTCATCTTTGGATATATCTTCAACTAGTTCATCGTCTGAGAATTTCGGTTCAATGTCCAAAGAGTAATCTTGTGAATCTTCGCTGGACAACACTTTGACTTGTCCCAATACGTTTGGAGCAGTGTGACTGGCAGTAAAGATCTCGTCGATTATATCAAGTTCCGGTTCAAATTGATCCACGGTAACGTCGTCCAATTGTTGAGCCGTTTTCAACGGCGCTTTAACCATCTTAGGAACATATTCCTCCCTCCTCTTCTTAGACTTTGGATAATACGCTTCCTTGAACTTCGACTGATAATCGTTTGAGTTACTATCGTCGTACGAATTCGATGTGGACGAATCCGACTTGAAAGTAGGTATGTAACCTGGTACGGCATCCTGGTCGGTTGTGTTGATTATAGCAGTGGGTTTGTATGTAATCTCCGGCTGTTGAGAACTGCTGGATTCTTGAACTACACTCAACCATGGTTTAGCTCTCTCAGGAGAGCACTTACGTTTCACAGCCACTCTACTTTCTCTGGTCGGCATATACGAGATCACCGGTATATGACGTTTCTTCAGTTCCGATATCGGCGTGGGATTATAAACGCAAGCCACCGGCTTCGTGATAGGCGTGGGAATCGCAATGTGCTTCCCTACTATATTTGGTGTAGTATTGCGCATAGAAGCAGTGGAGCTGGAGGCCAAAGTCGGTTTGAGCTCCTCGACCACCTGAGAGACAATGTTCTCAGGAAACTTCTGTGCATCTGTGACTTCCTGATCCGCGAGCACCTTCTTTACAGCTTCCGTTACCAGATGTTCAAGCATGTGAGAATTCGATGTCACCACAGAGGAGGTTTTGTTCTCCTGCGTCTGGCCTGTCGTCTGGGCCTCCACCATTCCGGCCACTCCTGCTGAGCTTCCTCCATCTTCTGTGCAAAATACACAATGACTTTTTATTCAAATACGACCAATTGCTGCTTTATAAGTTAATGATTTGTCGGTATATGTAAATGTGCCTTTAAAGTAATAACATTTCTTGTACAGACTCAACAAGTTATTCTATGTCTTGTTAGTAGTAAACACAAACCATTTTAGGATTGTCCTTGTTAACAAAATACATGATTGCTGATCTTTCAATATTCTTCATCTCAATATATTTAGCAAAGGAATGATTTATCGATATACATAAAAGTATTTTTTAAATATATATATAATAATTTTTTACACAGATTCAATGAATTATTCCAGACCTTCGTTAAACATGTACAGCCAGATTAGTGTCTCGTAATTAGATTGAACTCAACTTTTTCACCTCAAATATAAAACTCAGTTCAAAAGAATCCTGATTAACAATCATTAGAGGAATTGAGGATATCAAATATTTAAGAAATATTTTATATAATAATGTAAGCACAAAATTGCTTTCGTTATTCTTATGATAAGACACGATTGTTAATTTATCAATGTTCTTTAGCTTAAGCAAACAAACCGAACAAGCGAATTATTCGCTTCAATCTACAGAGTTCGGTTTTCAAACATTTGCTTTTTTTTGCACGCAATTCGGTAGCATGAGAAAGAGATTGAGTGATACAAAATATAAATAGTCGGCATACAATACATCGTCTGAGAAGTTTGTTTCAGAATCGTTTGAAAATCAAGAAAACATCAAACTTCATCATCCGACGTTGCATGTGGATTACGACATGTGGGGTCGTGTGACCCAGAAGAAGAGTCCAAGATGATAAAAAAAGACCTTGATCCGGCGTGAGCTCTTACCACGTCTAGCATGTTTGAAGTGACAGTAAGGACGATCGCACGATCCGCTGTCATAAAACGGGCAATTTATCGTCTTGAAGTAACCGGTCGACGGCAACATAATAACTGGTTCATTGCTCTCCGCACTTCGGGGAGGCCATTCTTCGTGACGGATGTGCGATGTACGTGTATGCCGATGTACGCCGCAATTAGGCGCTCACCGTGACCGAGTCAGATAATGTCGCGTCGTTGATTCCACCTGACATGCCAGCCGATCGATCTGCTCAACAGGAACCGCGATTTCGTTACGTCCTTTGTGCAAAAGAAATCAATGCGACACGAACGAAACTCTGCTGACACGCTCGTTCGGATCACGATGATAGGTTATGTTACGCCGTCATTCCTTCCTTCCTTCCTTCCTACCTTCCTTCTAATATATGGCTTCAGCTTGCCGTCATTCGTTCATGAATGAAAAACGATAATCGATCGATGAATCGATGTTCGACTTTTTTCTTGTTGAAGAATCGACTGGTTTCGCTAATGTTTTCAAAGGAAGCAAATTTCCTTTTGTGTTCTGAAATATGAGAAACATAAACTGTTGCAACCGTTCTATAACCGAGTGTTCGACGTTCGTTAACAAATACATAAAAAGTTTAAAGTTTTCTCTTTAAAACGCTTGTATTACATTTTTGAATCAAATAATTTTTAACTTTGAAAACTCAACTGAAAAACGAAGCTTGAAATTGAGCCGTCGCTATTTTTCGTTTAACTCGAAATATCTTGACAAAAATTAAGTACAATATTAATATAGCTAATATGGTTAAAAACTAGAGACTCCAAGCTTTAAAGTGCTTTTTAAACGATCTTAATAGCATCATTATTACGGAAGTTACAGCTTATTGAATTTGCCTATGTTTTATTATAATGGAAAGTACGTCTGCCCAGTCCTTGAGTCATATTACTTAAGAAATAAAAAGACATACGGCTCTATCGTTTAGTTATATCACGACCTTAGTTTCTCGTTGAATATAGTAGCGACTCATAGCGGAGATTCTGAAACTAAATTTCAGAAATAACGGGTCTAATTATTCCGTAAACCCGTTATATTAATAATATATCCATTAGAGAAATAACCCGTTATATTAATAATATATCCATTAGAGAAATAACGGGTTTACGGAATTATTACACCCGTTATTTCTGAAATTTAGTTCCAGAATCTCCGCTACGAGTCGCTACTATATTCAACGAGAAACTGAGGTCGTGATATGACTAAACGATAGAGCCGTATACATAGAGATATAAGAATAAAGGGAACAAGGGATATATGCTACCTGTATGTGGAAGTGATAGAGGTCAAGAGAGAGATGGATGCCGAGTGTCCTATCTGT